CCAAGGAAAACGACGCTGGCTAACAAAACACACCACTGGTTTCTGTGGAGACGGACGATCAATGCACACTCGGAAGATTTGGGACCACTCCCGCTGCCCACGTTGTGCCCAAGATGATGAAACCCCTAAGCATGTTCTGCTGTGTCCTAGCCGGGGTGCACGACTTACCTGGGCTGAGGCATTGGTCTCCTTAGACAAGCACCTTCGCAAACTTGGCACAAATCAATCACTTCGGTACGGCATCATAGAACATCTCCGGGCTTGGGGAAAGAGGAGCCCTCCACGCCTGGGACCTCTCCGTGCCGACGTCAGAGCTGCACTCGCTGAACAGACTGAGATAGGATGGTACAACCTATTGCTCGGACGCATCAGCCACCGGTTCACCCAATTGCAAGAAGCCCACTACAAATCCCTAGGCAATCGCCGCAATGCATGGTTTCCGCTGGACCACCGCAGTCATACGAAACTTCTTGATATTTCCTGGGACATGTGGGACCACCGCAATCATATCAAACACAATGACCCACATCCAGCCTTCGACCCACACCTCCGAACTACCCTCAACGAAGAAATAAGGTTCCAATGGTCTCTAGGCGCCGCTAGCCTGCGCCCGGAAGACAGACCCCTATTCCGACATGGCCTCGACTCCAATATGGAGCAGACAACTACAAACAAACAACAATGGCTAGCTAGTGTGGAGAACGCCCGGTCTGCAGCGGCGGCAGACCAAGTCCAACCTCGCAATGATCAGAACTACGAACGTAACCTGATGGAAAACTGGATCATTAGAGGTCCACCAGCTAACTGAACCAACAACACTACAAACAAAAAAAAAGGGCGCCATATCGCACCCACAGAAAACACAAACACTTCCATGTCAAGATGCATCTCATATATCCTTTTCTATACCCACAAACGGTTAAAGGCAAGCCCTAGCAAGAGGCTTGCATATACCGTTTTCAAATCTAAACGTAGAACATAATCCCTTCGGGGAAAGTGTAATTAATAAGTTAATCAACCATATTTTGGTCACCAAGCGGCTCCAAGAAATGGCCAAGAACGAAATGTCGGAAACACTGGTGCCTCAGATACACTCCGCGGTGATGGATGGACTTTTGAAGAATGTCGAGGAAGGGCTGCCTGGGGAATATCGTAAGGTTTCCATCAACATAATGGGGGAGGACTCCCATCGCCCTAACTTTGCAGACGTTCCTCCGCTCATGAAGAGCTGGTGCTCGAAAGACCTTGTTCAGAATGAGGATGAGCACATAATTGACTACCTTTCCCGTATTCATTCGAAATTCCAAGATATTCATCCTTTCCGCGATGGTAACGGGCGTGTCGGCCGACTTATTATGAACATTCTTTTGTTCAAGAAAGGCTACCCAATTTTGGCATTCGCGCCCTCAATCAGCACATTGTTCAACCACGGAGTAAACAAAGGTGTCCGCAAGGACTATTCCATCTTTTCTCGCCTCCTTGCCGAGACCATCTTGTAAGCTTCAAAGCATACGAAGATGCCCTCGGAGGGAAGTTACTTCCGAGAGCATAAAGTAGAGGCAAGTGTGCGTCTAAAGAAAGAAAAAGGAACGAGAGCCTCTCTCTTGAAGAGGACTCGACTCATTCCTTCTTCCAACAGCACCATGAAGAGCAATGGTGGAAATGTAACCTACAGAATGGCTAATAGAGCCACAGTACAGTGCTGAGACTTTTTCTATAGACCAACTAGACCGCTGCGGTCGCAATGGTAATGCGGGGCCAATGGTACCACTTGCACACAGCTGAGGGTTAGGACCAAAGCAATAGTAGCACTAAAAGCTCTATAGCCTTGAGCCCAAACCACTTAGTACTCCAGCTCGTAGCTCTAGCCATAGTGTAGACAGGGGTAGACAATAGCCCTGTAGGTTCCTGCAATGTCATTGCTAGCTTGCCCACCTAGCTTTATGAGTCTGGCTATAATCTGTCGTTGCTTTGCCGCCAGCATTATAGTCCCTCGGTCACAGAGACTTTAGATTGCAAACCGATCGCCTCCACTGCGGTCGGTTGAAGGCCAGACCTTCTAAAGGTAGTTCTGATCCTTTCTGGATCTTTCACTTCTTTTTCCATTTTAGTTCTATGTTTACCATGAGACTAGCTAGCTAAAGTGTAGATGACAAAATCACAAGTCGGAGGGGGCGACGACGGCATGCGGCGATTGCAGTGTGCCGCCAACATACGATGGCGACGAGCCCCCTCCCCATAGTCAGTGCATCGGAGGATCGTTCCGAGCAGGTTTCGGGAGCAGGTTTCGGAATGTTGGTATCAGGTACCAGGCAGTCTTCCTGGCTTTTCTTCTCTTCAAATTCATCCGAGTGTGAAGGCCGCTTTGCCAACTAAATGTTGTCGACTGGGTACTGTACGATACGGTACATCCAGTGGTACTAGCTAGTACAGTATGCACACTTGGAACAGCTCTTTCGAACCGTACCAGCTGGTGCGCTGCTGGAAAGCTTTGCTTGCATGCCATGTGATGCCAACGGCACGATCATTATGACACAGCCACAGGGACAAGCAACCGGTACAGGCAGAATGCAGTGTACCGCTCACCATGGTTCCGCAAGGCATCAGCAAATACCAGTGTCAATGAGCGCGACATGGTGCAAAGTTGTGTCCTACTGGCTAGATAGATAGCTAGCTACTACTAGGAGTGAGTGTTATGAGGTCGGATAAAATTAGCGTGTTACTAGAGCGCTCGGTTTAGCCGAGTTTAGTTATTCTCCCTGGTCTTCACCAGAGAGGCACAGGTACAGCTATAATGGGCTAGTATAACAAGCATTTTCGAGTCGCCACCATTATCAGTTGCAGCAATTGGGAGCTGCGCACCAGCTAGCTAGCTAGGGATAGCTGGGATACATAAGAAATCAGAAAACCAAAACATAAACTACAGGCTGGCAAACTAACAGATACATGGGAAGAGCAAAAGTGCCAGTTTGTACGGGAGCAACATAAGCGAGAGAACAGCGTCGTCCTCGACGGGGGCCAGCGCAGGCAGGTTGTCATGTACTTGTAGGAGACGAACAGTCTTGGAGTCTTCCTCTCCCCGGCAGATGGTCATTGTCATTGGATTGATGGGCTGGACTTCGCATTCATCATCTTGCATGGACACCACAACTGATGATCCTTCCGAACACGTAGAGGATTCATCGTCTGAAGACGAGGATACAATATCCGTGTAATCTTCGTTGTAGATTGCAAAGGCTTCAGATTCATCCTTGACGGCCAACTGCCGAGCTCGCTCCAAAGCCTCTCGACTGTTGCTAACAGCCAGCAAGCCCAGACCAACTGGATCCGTGATGCTCATTACTTTGTGAAAGTAGAGCAAATCACTGACGTGCTTTCGACGGATTTCCTTTCGGGGTCGCTTCTGCTTGATGTGCTCAAAGCCTCTCCAGTAATATGCGCTGTCGTGGACATCGCTGTTCTGTAGATGCAAGGGCTGGCTGTTGATGTATCGAATCATGCCGTAGATTTCTGATTTCATGTTCATGAACTCTTCAACGTTGTACCAAATGTGGCACATGTCATCAGCAGTGAAGTCCTTCTCAAAGACACGTTCCTCATCTGTTCCAAATCGTACTCGGCGCTTTCGCGACGGCCGTTCACTCTCGGATGATGATGATGGCGCTGCAATGCCAACCACAATTGATTTGCCACCGCAAGACGGCGACACGGGAGGGGTGTCGGTTGTGACTTTGCACATTGGATGCTTGCTTGGGGGTAGAAACTTCGATGAATGAGATGAGACGCCAGAGAAAAAAGCAATGCTACCGGTAACAAAGCAACAACAAAGTTATTATGTTGACGATTCCAGACCGACGTTCTTGTGGTGGCCAGGCCAGCTGAAAAATTTGATAGCTTTGCCGGTGGACGAATTGTGCGAAAGCAATCTTGTAGAGCA